TCTATTTACTCATGTATTTCCCCTACATTTGCTAATGGAGTGACAAAGTACCTAAAATTTGTGTAAATATATAATTGATAAAAACTGTATGCATTTGTAGAACAGAGTGGTCATTTGGTACATGTATTGTTGATGACTTGTATCTAGATGTCTCCCCAAAGCCTCATGTGGTCACAGGTGCAACTTTTTCAGAGATGGCTGAATCTAGAGCATGTAGTTGGTTCATGGTACAAGGTTTAAGATTAAGGGTGTTGGGATTAAGGGTGAGTGATTACTAAATTAGTCCATTGATTGGTTTGGCACCTCCTGCTCCCAGGAGACCTGATAGGGTACAGTGGGTACAATGGACAGAAAGAGACTTGTCTTGACCCTGTTCTTGTTTCACTGCCTTCTGCTGCCACAGACTGTTTCACTTTGGTGATGCTTGTCTGGCCTGACACCTTGCATCGAAGCCAGCTGACTGTGGCCTGAAGCCTCCACCAGTAGTGACCAAATAAACCTTGTCTCCCTTAACTTTGAGTCTTGGGTATTTTGTGTCAGTGATGAGAACAGTAACTAAGATGTGTACATTGTGAAATGATTAAATCAAATTAGTTAACATTCCTTAGCTGCATAGAAGGTTTTTTTGTGATAGAGACATTTAAGCTCCATTGTCTTGGTAATTTTTTATTATATCAGATGTAAATATTAACTATAAATACAATGATGCATATATCCATAACTAATTTATCATAAAAGTGGTTCCTTTTAACTAACATTCTCCATCCCCTTGGCAGGAACAACTCTGCTCTCTACTTCTACATGGTATGATTAAAAAGCATAGAATGTATTTACATTTTTATACATTTTTTACAGTAAGATCTCTCCTCGCATACATGTCATTCTTATCACTGTCTGAAGCAGTTTTGGAAGTACCCCTTTGTGTCTTTAATTGCTGTCTTAGCTGCCTCAGTGTTCTGAATTAATTAAAAACATTTGCTTTGCGTGGTCATTTTGATTTGGGGAAGTGCTACAAGTTGTATAGTGCCAGGTCCTGTGAATAATATGGTAAGGCAGATGATGATGCCCTGTAACATTTTTACGAGCCTGCTGTTCTTCTATTGGACCACAGTCAGCAGCAGCATTCACTGTATTTTATCACACTTCAAAAAGACATTGAAGTTTTTTTGATACAGATTTGGTCATGTAAAATCATAGAACATGTGTCGCTGAGACATGGGATCTGAGGGTCTATTTATTTTATTTTTAATTTTTAATTTTTTTTTTTTTTTTTTTTTTTTTTTTTTTTTTTTTTTTTTT